CCAAGCACAAGAGTGATCCCGTCTGCCATGCTCACTCCGTCTCCTCCCTTTACTTTCTGCACAAAACTGCATGTGGACCTAGTTTGTCTACCATGGTTACATCTCCATTTTAATATTAATGAATGCTGTAATATTAAAGTAAATATAAAACACCTTTTATTAAATGCCGATCAAAATATTAAAACATTTAAACATTTTTTTTTAAATCTCTATCTTTTGGAACATTATTTATTTATTCATTCATTCATGCATTGATATAATTTTTTATGACAATTAAGCATCTTTCCCTCTGAATTCTCATTACTTTAATACATTTAAATGATAAAATACTTTTATTCAGCAAGGATGGATTCAATTGATCAAAGGTGACAGTAAAGACATTCATAATCATAATGTTACAAAAATATATATATTTAAAATACAGTAGTAGAGTGTTCTTTTGAATTTTCTGTACATCAAAGAAAAATGTATCACTGTTTCAACAAAAAATATTAAGCAGCACAACTGTTTTCATCATTGTTAATAATGAGAAATATTTAGCTTTTCCATCACAGGAATAAATTAAATTACAAATATTTTAGAAATATTATAAATGCAAAAATACAAAAAAAAACATACAAAAATCTTACCAATCACCTTGAGGTCTGTGAGCGTTAAAAATACCCCACAGTGACCCAAGCACAAGAGTGATCCCGTCTGCCATGCTCACTCCGTCTCCTCCCTTTACTTTCTGCACAAAACTGCATGTGGACCTAGTTTGTCTACCATGATTATATCTCCATTTTAATATTAATGAATGCTGTAATATTAAAGTAAATATAAAACACCTTTTATTAAATGCAGATCAAAATATTAAAACATTTAAAAAAAGAATGTTTTATTTTTTTTTTAAATCTCTATCTTTTGGAACATTATTTATTTATTTATTCATTCATTCATGCACTGATATAATTTTTGATGACAATTAAGCATCTTTCCCTCTGAATTCTCATTACTTTAATACGTTTAAATGATAAAATACTTTTATTCAGCAAGGATAGATTCAATTGATCAAAGGTGACAGTAAAGACATTCATAATCATATATATTTAAAATACAGTAGTAGAGTGTTCTTTTGAATTTTCTGTACATCAAAGAAAAATGTATCACTGTTTCAACAAAAAATATTAAGCAGCACAACTGTTTTCATCATTGTTAATAATGAGAAATATTTTGCTTTTCCATCACAGGAATAAATTAAATTACAAATATTTTAGAAATATTATAAATGCAAAAATACAAAAAAAACCTTACCAATCACAATCTTTTGAATGGTAATGTATTATTTTATTTTTTTATGTTACATTAATAAGAATTGAGAAAAAATTATCTTCCAAGTGGTTTTTAAAAACGGGATTAATGCAAAATTCTTACTTTTGGTTTTGTGGTCAAATATGACCCAGACATGTCCTTGCCAGAGTTTGTGAAATTCAAGTGTTTGTATATATCAGTATGTAAATTTATGACACAAAACAAGTGAAAGAGAATGTCTTGTGAACTTCGATAGCAGCCTCCCTAAAATGTTTCAAATGAAACAGTTCTCTGTTGTGAATGTTAACAGGGTTTATAGAAATGTACAGCTACATGGGCAAACAGAGGGGGTTTCTGCGATAACAGGGAAGGGCACTGACGTCAGCTGGGTCATATCTGGAAGCAGTTTTGCAGCTTAGAGCAAAGAGCACACAGTGAACTGCATACATAGACATGAGCAACAGCCTGAACTGTCCTTTTGTGTGCTGCTTCATGACGGATGGGGCTCATCTGTGTATGGGAGGGTGTAGGGCCTGTCGCTGTCGGGGTGGGGGTCAGTGAATAGACGCAGTGGAAAACACACAGCCGGTGCTGTGTTTGTGTGAAGGCATCTTTGTATGAAATACTCAGCACATTATGTGTGTGTGTGGTTTTGGGGGGCTGGATGAGGATGGTAGCATTTAGCATGATAATGGCACACACTTTGAATTGAACGTCATGTGAATAATCAAAGGTTCTGATGTTCGCAATCATAACACATTCCTGAATGTTTATGAGGGACTGGCTCTCTTTACTCATGTGCTCCACCATCATTTATATACAATAAGGGAAGAAATGGAGAGACTTGATAGAGCCATGAAATCCAGAAGAAGAAAAAACAATTAAATGCAAACAAATCCTCATTATTCGTATTTCACTTATTCCCTATATGTCTTATAATATCAGATGGCTGGATGATTTGGCTTTCTTCAGATAATTCACACAAAACTATTGTTAAACCCATGATCATTAATTACAATTAATATAAGTCAGTATAAATTTTATAAATAGATTAGTCAATATCAGTTTTAACAAAGTATCTTCAAATGGTATCGCTCTCTCTCTCTGTATATATATATGGCGTCAAGTATATTTTTATAATCTAAAAAGAATTATGAATGTAAAGAAAAAGGAGAATAAATGAGAAATTAATGCTGCCATCTTGTGGTAGAAATACAACAACGCAGCTCAACCTCCAGCTGTTGTCTTGTAAAGCAATGTAAGAAATGTAAGAAAATGTAAATCTAATCTTAAGGTTTATTTATTTAATTATTTAGCATGTGTTTATTGCTATGCATTAATTCTCTGTTTTTTTTTTATTTAATTTTTTTATGTATCTTCTTTTTTTTTTTACTTTGCTTGTGTTAAGGACCTATTTATTCTTTTCATCATCATCATCATCATCATACATGCCAACTTTAAATGTTTTTTTTTTTTTTATTATTCCAAGTTCAAGAAATGTCTGCCACTTATGAACAGCCAAAGCACGTTATTCCTATTGATGTCTGGACCTTTAGCATGAGTTATTACATCAGTTTTCATTCGTGATTTTATTCATTTATTTTTTATTAACTCTAAAATACTCTGAAAGGTACAAAGCTGTAACTAGGGCGGTACCCTAAGCCTAAAGTACAAAAGCTAAAGGTACATCTTTTTTACCTTATTTACCCATAAACGGTACATAATAGTACTTTAAAGATCCTCTAACTAAGAGGCTCTAAGGTTTACAGGCTGTAAAAATGCGGTACACGCTCCCATCCATTCCAAATGAAGCTGTGCAGGGTGCGCAGGTGTCCGCTAGAGGGCGACATTACTCTGTGTGCACAGTTGGCACAGATTTCTGCAGCCCCCTGATCCCTAAACCCACCCTTCTCCACCCCTAAACCTACCAATCTCCACCCCTTAGATGTGGATCCAACCATGCCCCCTGAATCTTGTGTTCTGCAGCTAGGGGCTACTGCAAACTGGTGGGCATGAGTATAGGGAGATTAATTTATTAATTGACATTTAACTTTTTCTTAGTTCTTCACCATCTGATTTGATTCACAGAATGACTTCAGACTTCCTGGTGTGATCCAGGGTCAGAAGCTTTAACAGCCAGTAACAGAAGCCAGCTGCTAAAATTAGCAGGAGAGATTTCAGTCACATCTG